GCTCATAAACTCCATTTTAGAGATACTGGTGATTCCAATTAATAAGGAGAATTAATTGCATAAGGTTGCAAGTAGCGGTATCTTGCAAATGGCATGGGTATTTTGGTTGTAAATGCACAATTTTCAGTTATCTATTAAATCTGTATCTATTACTCTGAAAAAAGCCAATGTGTGTGTCTGACTGAAAGCAGACAACACCCAATTAGCACAACAACTATATTTACAAATAGTGTAAATCAGGATCATAGACATCATCTTTAGATTTGACTATGTCCCAGGAATTCAATGAAAAAAAACAAAACTGAACATATAAGCCTAAAGAAACTCACCTTGTGTTAATGATTACTTGATTTATCTTAGCTTTCAAAGTAGATAAAATCAAGACTTCTAAAGAGTTGTCTTTAACCCAGGATTTCTTTCATTAAAGTGTACAGTCTTGAGTGCAAGTGCATGCCTGAAGGATAGCAGTTTGTTCCTAACAAAAAAGACCTGGATTCCACACTATGCCTTTGCCAGAGGCATCATTCCCTGAAGCACACTGCTAACTGCAGCTCCTGCTGCACCTGTAACAATTTAATTGTGTAAGTCAGCCTAGTCAAGCATCTCCAGCCCATGACTAGGAGACATGAAATTCATTGTCATTACTGTCCCTGTCATTTTGGATCATTATATCCTGCTGCAGAATTTTCCTCACTTCGGTGCATTTTTACCTCCAGGAGCCAGGGATTATAGCTGAGGTTGAGGTGGGGGCAGGACCATGAACTACATTTACCTCAGGGGAGCCAGAGATTAAATTGGATTTGCTCTCTCATGAGCTGAATTCATCTATTTGTATGCTATGAGTTTTAGATTGGAATAAAAATGAATATTCTAGTGAACACTGGGCTTTAATTCCCTCTTTGAAACATGAGTGGAACCATCTTTTATTTACATTAGAAAAGCCAATGTAATTTCTTGTAAGTAGTTATTTTCATAGCATAAGAAATACAGGCATTATCAGATAAAAAATAACAGACATTTCTGTCAATGTCTTGACTGGCAGAAAAGAGGAATGTAAAGCTGTAATTTTGCATCCATTTTCATTTTACAGAGGCTTACTGGAGATATTTAATGATTTTAATATTTAATGATTTTTAATTATGTATCATATTCTGTGCACTGGATTGGATGACTAAAGACCAACTAGAATGGCAACAAAGATTCACTGCAAGAACTAGTAGATTAAAGTAGATTTGGTAGAAGAACACAAAATAAGCTCCTAAAGAAACTATCTACCCCTCCACACAAGCTGATTTACATAGCATGTCTTACACACTTTTTGCCAACCTGGGAGGGGATCAATCTCTACTTGGAATCGCCCTTTCATCAGTGGCAATGGCCACGGGTAAGTGGGTCTGTATGAGAAAGGGTCAAGCGACAGACAGAACATACTACGAGGCCGAATCTGGTAGAAATTGTCTGTAATCCCAGCACTCAGCAGGTTGAAAAAAGAAGATTGCTATGAGTTTGAGGCCAGCCTGTGCTACAAATTGAATGCCAGTCTGAACTGTACAATGAAACTCTATCTCAAAAAGACAAAAAGAAAACACACACACAGGCACACACACACTAGGACATGTCTCATGCAGGAGGCTGCTAAGATGACTCTGTCTTCTCTATACAAAATAAGAAGAAAATACAATTGGAGGAAAAACCTGGCATGTCATTTCACCACTTACATTTCATATGGATTCTGTGACAATTAACTTTGACTCTGCATTTTTAAAAGATAGTAGTTACTCCTTCATACATGTCAACTTGTTTTTTACCAGTTAATAATAAAGTACAGCAATGGATCAAACTTCTGTCATACAAAGAATGGCCAAAGATGCAGTTTATTCTACTACATTTATGAAGTTCTGTGGGGAAACACTTCCCCTTAATCATATTCAACAGCAATCACAATTTATTTAGGATGAGTATGTGCTTTGGAGTAATTAAGAAAAATCCTTTGATAATTGTACATTTTATACTTCAAAGAGAACATATTACGCCTTAACATCTTTATGCTGAAGAGATCTTAAACTGTCTAAATACCAAGTTCATGGCAATGTTTACTGCTCTGTCTCACTGTATTTTTATATCATTATATTTCACTTTTCACTGGGGCTAAAGTAACTGTATAATAACTACAAATAAGAGTTAGTAAAACTTTAGTTAGCAAAACTTCTGGTAGTATTTAAAAGTTCATTTGATTATTTATAGAGATCGGATTTAATCAGACTCAAGATCCTCCCAAGGTGGGAATTATAAAAATTCTGCTCATTTTATAATACATTTTTATTATTTCTGCTCAGCTTATAATGGGCTTTTTGTTGTGGCTCCGTTGTTGTTGTTGTTGCTGCTGCTGTATGTTTTGGGGGAGGTGTTCTGTTGTTATTTCTTGGTGGGAGCTTGGCTGCGCTTTTCCTTTTTTTTTTTAGACAAGGTCTCTCTACGCAGTTCAGGCTGGCCTTGAACTCACTGTTATCCTCCTACTAGCCTTCCTAGGGCTGGTATTACAGGCATGGACCACCATACCCAGCTGTATAACAAGTAATGTTTTATGAAATTACATATTTTTGAAAGTTATTTTAAGTACCCTAAATTCATGGTTAAACCACTTAGGTTACTGTTTACTCAGTCTCCTAGTAGTTATTTATGAATAGTACTTCTGTATTATTAAGAAAGGTTTATTTTATAAATTACAATGTTTACACATTTGTTTGCAATGGTTAATGGAACTTAGGTAATTTTTCTCTCTGAACTACTTTGAAATATTTTTCTGATCAAGAGAAAGGTATTTCCCTTTTTCTAAGCATGTATTAATTACATTTCATTTCTTTACTTACATCATCTTCTCCACCTTAGTTCTATGCTGATAATTAATTTGTTCATCATACCATACTATATAAAACACGAATTGTCAATCTGTGAATGAATATAATTATGAAACCAGAGAACCATGCTGTTTCACATTGTTTTGCCTCACCTCAAGCATGACATAGTAAGGCCTGTACCATTTCAGAGCAATGTGAAAAAGAATAATTTATATCCAATGACCAAGATAGAATTACTTTCACTCCTTCAGTCTAAGACTTAAGATTTTATAACCAATTTCCAAATAGCGATTTGAAATTATTTTTCAATAATCTTCACTAAACATAACTTTATAACTTATAACTAGCTATAAAAATCAATTCTACATTAAAGAAATTCTTCTTATACACTACAGTAATAGTTCTCCTTCAATGAAAACAGATTTCCCTTCATTTTCTTCATGTAGAATCAAAAAGAATCTCTAATTCATAACAATAACAAACTAATACAAGACAGTCACAAACAGATACAATATCCACTAATAGTCTTCATTAGGCAATTCATACATGCAAAAGCAAACAAATCAAATTAATGCCCAACATATTGAATGATATAAAAAACAAGTAAATTTGAGGAGTACTGTATGTAAAGAAAGGATGAAGAATAAGAAGCAAAGATCACAAACGTTTCCATGTTAGGACACTATTTACAGAATGCCTTCTTACTTCTCCTGAACCAAAAACCTTTTTACTAGAATCAACCAAAAAGTGACAATGGATTGACATTAAGGATCTGATGCAGAGAAAGAAAATTCACAGTGAAGGTTGTCCTTCAACATGTAGGATCAATCAAGGGCACCAAAAAAGTAATTAAGTGCCCCCTGTGGTGATCAGATGCTGGAAGGTGCTACAAACTGTTAATTTTCTAGCTTTTATGTTTGTCTAAGACCCTTAACATTTTTCTAATATTCTTTCTTCTAGGACAATTTCTTGAGTTTGTCCCCATTGCTCCTGCACATACACATTTTGCATTTATGTATGAAGCCTGATTAACAAACAGCTAAACTGACTCAGAAATATAATATTGGAAAGGAAAAAAAAAAATAAAGGTAAGGGTAGCCTTGAGGACATCCCATACTATGAAGTATAAATATTAAAGTCTCCTCAACCAACAACAAAACTTCTTCATGCTAAGAGAGAGGTGGGGAACCTATGGCACAGCTATCTATCGTCACTGAAAGCTCTAAAAGATTTGCCATCACTGTACTAAGACTTCAGTTATCTAACACCAAATACAAAAGGTCACATAATCATGGGTTTGGGGGTGAGATACAGAGCCCTTGTCACAAAATGTTTAAGATCTTCAGAACATGTACTGTGTCTAGCCATTTCCTTACAAATGAGTATCTTTGGATCATTAGTAAAATTTAACAAACAGCTTTGGCTGCTTTGCTTTGTACTGTTTCATCATCTTGAGATACATCAAGTATTTAGTTCTTCCAAATGAAAGTGTAAAAAATTATATTACACACAAAACAGAACTCACTTTGAACACAAGGTAAATGGACACTAGGTAATGTCACTTTTACAAAACATCTAAAGCAATAACAAAAGTAATAAAACATGAGCATTTGGTTTAACAATGCTGTTCATCTACCTTTATCACATAAATTACACGTTTGAGAATGTGTCTATGCAAAATACAATCATGTCAATTACAGCCCAAGGGGCATTTTTCCCTAGGTTTATAACCCCTTGAAAATAGAGGTTTCATCTAGAGAACTTAACAGATCCTCAGCAGCTTTCACCACTGTGATATATTCATAAGGCAAGAATATTCACTGGCAAAATAAAACAAAATAAATGGCATATGGCTGGGACCCAAATTCTTAATAAAGAGACACAGTTTAAACCAACCATGAAACCAAGTATAAATCAAAAAAGAAAAAAATTATACAAAAAATATTAAAAACAAAACATTATGGGTAGTTTTTCAGACAGTACTAGAGAAAACAGTGAACCTGGATATGTGTGTGCATGTATGTTTTTGTAAGATTAAAATTAAGAATGCAAAACTACTTCACTAAGAAGCATTTATAAAGGCCACAGTATATTTTAAGGAGTCACATGAAGAGAAAAATATCATTTAAAAGCATCACATACCATCATAGTAGACAATTGCTCCCACCAGTTTGTCCTTCTGGAGCATGGGGAAATGTTCAAGGGCTCTCGATTTGCTGAGCACATAACTGCTCTTCAGGCAGTTACTTCCTGCAACCAGGTCATACAACTTGATTCCTACCCAGTAGTAAGGTAGCTGCCACCATCTACAGCATAAAGAGGGGTGAAGTTTCTTTAGAAACAGAGTGTAACATTATAGAATAATACCTTAAGTTACAAGTAACTTTTCACTATGGAAAACAAAGCATACCTCAAAGTGGACTGCAAAAGAAAAAAGAAAAAAAAATCAGGGCTGGGGATTTAGCTCAGCGGCATAAGCGCCTGCCTTGCAAGCAGGCAGTTATGAGTTCAATCCCTGGTACCGATAAAAAGGAAAAAGACAAAAAAAAAATCAAGAGCCCTGCGTAACTGATTTTGATACCAATCTAGCAGAGTATGCAAGTAAACATATCAGTAAGTTTTAAATCAGTCTTCTCTAAGGCTCTCATCCTGGCTGCATCTTAGAATTCTTGGGGAAACACTAAAAATAAATACTGCTGGCTGGACCTCCCATGCCCAGAGGTTGATTTAAGCAGAGCAAGCAAGATGAGGGCTTGTGTTTTGTAATGTGTACCCACAGCTGAGAGTCACTGACTTAAGAAGTCCTAAGTGATCTGTGGCAAAACAGAGACAAAATTTAAAAACTTATTTCAAGTTACCACAATATTCATGTGCCTAAGAGTTATAAAATCCACTTACTACAATTTAAGGAAGCCTCATGGATAGCTTTAACAACATTAGGAAACTGGGTTTTATAATCTGACATCTAGCCAAATTTCAATTTTAGTTAACTTACTTAAAATGACCCAAAATAGTTTGAGTTTTCAGTTGCTATGTTGCAGATTCAAATTGTACAAACAGGATTTGTTTTGGGGTTCTATATTCCCAGTCCTCCTATTTCTCATTTCAAATAAAACTGTTCATCTATATACATGAAACAGTAATAAGGTATTACTAATTATAAATACAGAACACATTCTCCTTTGCCTTTAAGTCCATAGAGAGTACTTAAGAAGATTCACACTTTTAAACACACCAATGTAAATGTTTGAGAAGGATTAAAAATTAGAGCTAGTTAAAATCACATTAATAAATACAATGAGGAGTTATTTCTATTAAAACTGTGGTGTCCCATTTATCTCAGGCGATCAAATAGGAGTAAGGTGCTACCAAAGACTCACTTGTAAACTGGAAGCATTATAGGCAGTGGGGCTGATAAATGGGGAGCAATTTCTAGTAGGTTGGCACGCTCATGAAGGGCTTCTTTTACCATCCTATACTGAAAATCAAAACAGAGAAAATTAGTTTGGCAGTAACATATCATAATATTTTCAAATGGCAAATAGACACCCTGGCAACTGATTGATACACAGAAACCTTCTACCTCTGAGTAAGGATAGCTCCCTCCTAATCAAATTTCTAATAATACATCATGCTGTCAACCTCAAAGATTTTTTAGAAACCATAACTGTATTTGCATAGGAGAAAAACATGCTGTCAGAGTTCCCAGGTGTAACATATTTTCCTGACTTGAGTTCAGAGATTATTGTAACCATTTATCTTGCATTCTCTGTAATGCTCCCCTTTCTCAATTCTTCATAATATTTTCTCCAGGTAAGAAATAACAGATTGTTCAAATTCACGCTAAAGTTTCCCTCTTGCCTTCACTAAACCCAGAAAAGATGATGCCTCACAGTTGCAGTGTTTCAGATTATTTTAAAACCTTTTGTCTTAACCCCTGTGATCCTTCTTAAGACTCTCTAAAGAGCCAGTATTTATGATTGTGATTATTATACTAATCTCATAAATGAGAAAACTAAGGTTCATAGACATTGCATAAATAATCCAAAACACATTATAAGTTAGCTGATTCTAATCTGTGCTGTTTTCTTTGCATCCATCATGATGCCCCAGAGAAACATAAGAAAAGGGGACAGATTCAAAACTAGCTTGTCAAGAAAAAAAAAGAGGAGACAGATTCAAAACTTTGACAATGTCAAGTAAGTGTGCTGTGCTTTTCATGTACGAAAAGCTGATAGGGAGTGCAGCTGATTTTTTTACCCCTCTGGGAAATGTCATCTTCCACACTGCCTTGGCAGTTTTCAAATGGTGGCAGACTGGACACAATAAAGTGTGACACAGGAAAAACATGACTCAGATCAACTTTTCCTTAACAATATGTCAATGATGATATGAGGGTATGACTGCAGTTGTAGTTAAGAGGGTCAGTTTGGCATTCCTCCTGCCTGCAACACAGCTCCCCTGAAACTGCTTGTGAAGGAGCAATTTGGTGGCCACCGGCAAACATCCAATCATAATTGTTCAAAGGTAACACATCCACAAGTGTTTTGTAAGTCTGCTATTTTGACATGCTTGTGTAGAAAAAGCCCGATTACCCATAAACATAATACTACAGGAAAGAACTGACACATATCCTGAAAGATATTCCAGCAGCATACACAAAATAAGTATTTCCAAGAAGATGAAATGTTAAAAGCCATATTTAAACAGTCTGATATAACTGAGTAGAAAAAGCATAGTTGCAATTTTTGTTTAACAACCAGCATATACAATTACCTGCTCAATATCCAACTTCATGATGGCCTTCTGAAGATATCTCACACCACCATGGATCAACTTAGTGCTTCTGCTGCTGGTCCCTGATGAGAAATCATCTCTTTCTACAAGGGCTGTTTTCAGTCCTGTGTAACCAGAAAACCAAATTAACTTCTTAAATTACACAATTTGTATGTAATTCATTAAAGGCACTTCTCCAGGGTAGAGACAATCACAAGAAAAATTAGTCTGAACATGGACAAATTTGTATTCAAAGTGCAGCACACTGTCTATATTATAATGAAGAGATTTTAGACTCTTCCTGGGGGGAAAGTCAAGCCAGAACTAGAAGCATATTAAACTGTGAATGAATCACAACTAGAAAATATCACAGTACAATTTCATGATAATAACATACTTTGGTGTTTAGGGGGTTAAGACAGGCTGGCACCCACCTTTTCCATGTAGAGTTTACTGAATAGCCACACAAAGCCCGCGGAATACATGTTCACCTCTCCCTACCTGAGTCCGGAGTTACAGCCCTTCATCTCTGACTTGCTCTCATGCATTTCTGGCAAATCTAGATTAACCTCCTTTGTGTGCTAACTCATACTGGCAAATGTGTCTGGGGTGCTGTTATAGCGAGTATAGAATGCGGAAGACCTCCAAGATACCACAATATAATGAAATAAAAGAATGATTTTAATGTCAAGGAGTTTGTAGGTTAATTTAAAACATTTGAACATAACCATACTTCAGAATTTATAAAGAAATATAAATGCCAGGACAAATGAACACAATGCAGAATATCCACAGAAAAGGAAACAAAATATCCTGGAATAACTCAGGCTGTACCAAGACAGGTCAACTCCACAAATCACCCTGTTGTGTTTTGTTTTGTTTTGTTTTGTTTCTTCCTGCAGAGACACCCTGCTCCCCTGCTTCATTAGGACTGGACATGTCCTAAAGTCACACACTGGCTAAGCAACAAAAGTCAAAACCTCACAATGCTCACCATACACATCAATGCTAAATCAAGAGGAATTTTCACAGCAGATGTATTCTTGGGGAATGAGGGGACATCATGGAGAATGTGCAATTGATGCAGTCTGAGCTCAAGAATCTCAAAAGAGAGTACCTGTGCACGTGTTCAACTAAGAGCCATTTATTACATTTAATATCAAAGGGTCTTTTCTATAAAGAGTCTTTCAACAGTTTAAATATTGTATCCAAATGTCATATAAAACCAGGGCAACTCCCTTGACTTAAAAGGACAAAATATTTGGAAGCTGTGGAGAGAAAAGTAGAAAATTTTGATTCAAGGTAAAAACTGCTAATGCTCTACCTAACTAGTAAAATAACACTGAAATTACAGATATCACAGTCAGCCTACTCTTCTTAAGCAAGTATGCAAGAGAAAGTTCTGTAACATTCTCTGTTCAGACACTAGAAATTGTTAGTAAGCTTAGTTCTAGATGCATTAAAGACACAGAAAAAAAAAATAGTGCAAAAAAAAACAATGTTGAAAGTGAAAGTGCTAATGTGTTTTATAAATTAGATGTAGACCAGACTGCATGCAGCTGCCAACTCAAAAGAGGCAAATAAAATAAAACAGGTTTTACAGGGGCCACATTTAAGGATACAGAGGATACTTCCTCTAGGTTAGAAGTTGATTTCAGGACATAAACCTTAAGCTGCACAGTTAAAACTAGATTTGCAAATCTTGCAAGAATGCACTGTTTCAGTGAGCTGTGTCACCTTAGTAAGTCCAAAACAAAGTTCTTCATTCAGCTCTAAAATAGACCATTTTTTCTTCAGTTGAAGATCAAACGAGGGAGTTGACTTTCAAGTGGCATTTGGAGCCAGATTATTTAAAATATACCTCTCTTTAAACCCTGAAATCAGCCTTAGCATCAAGATGCCTATACCAGGAAAGATAGAAAACTGAGACTGAGAGACTTGCAGTGTTCCTCTGCACCACAGCTCCCTCACCCGCGCCTGCTCAAGGGTGTCCCTCAGGTTGTAGCACACAGAATTCTCAGAAAGTCCCCAGAAATCCCCACTCAGCCATTGAGGATGTGATCTGGTGCCTGGATATGGGCTGGACCCAGTGCCTTTCCTCTAAAGAGCAGCATACACCAACCCCAAGGGGCATGTCACTTCTGTGCTGTAGTTACAAAAGATGCCATCTTATGAGTCTGGAACCAAGGGCATGCAGAACCCAGCCTCAGTCCAACAATGTGAGCCCTGAGAATCACTAGAAAATGGCACTATTTGTGAAAGACTTAATGACCTTGAACCCAGCTGAATTCACTCAGGATTCCTGATCCATTGAAATGAAGTAAAATTGTTGTTCACTAAATTTGAGAAACAGCTTATTGGTGACAAAATTATCTCTATGAGGAATAACACACCCAAGTTGGAAGTTTTCAACTGTCCCTGGGAATGTGATTTCAGAAAGCTGAGTCTACACAGGAGTAATCACAATAGCTGAGATGGTGAGTACCAAGCCCAACATCAGCTTAAGAAGAGGGACATGCTTGAAATGGCCCAGCTCACTTAGGAGCTGCTTGTTAGTTAGGCCTGAGAGTAGTGTAGGACAAGACAGACAACGTAAAGGAGATCCGAGTGGGGCAAACCAACAAATCCGATCACAAGGGGCTTTTCAACCATAACAGGACTTGGTATACTGTCCTGGGAGGTCGCTGTTTCTCACAAGTAATTTCTGGGTCACTTCAAAAGGAAAATACCTTTGAGAATATGGCTATAGGTCCTGCAGTTTACATCAGTTTTAGAAACAACTCATTAAAAAGAACAGTAACTGACATCAACGACACAGAAGCATAAAACGAGCACTGTACTCAGTTACAGGGTATCTATTCCAAGGAACTAGGGTGAGCTTGTTATTTTTTTACTGTAAAAAAATCTAAATTTTTCCAGAAATTCTAAGACCTGACTGTGGTTATACTGTCTTGAGAAATGCTATTATACTACTTGCTAGGGAGATCATTACAATGTTTTATGCTGAGAAATCTGATTAATGTTCCAAAAAGATTTCTCTGACTTAAGGGGGCAGGGGTGATGATGGAGAAGGGCCACACAGATGAACACAGCAAGGCAGAGGATGGTACTGGAGAGTGATAAGGAGAAAGAATGTCCTGTGTCAGATTGGATTTGTTTTCTTTTTTCCAAACTAACTGTGAGGCACAGAATTAGGCAGCCATCTTAGAGGGATATTTCAGAATATTTAAGTGAGAAATAACACTTTCAAATTCTCAAACTGTTTTCAATTCTCAACATTTAAAAGATTATTCACATGTGTTTACGTAAGAAAATATCAACAAAAATGAAAATAAGTTCCTCCTCAGTCAACCCAGGCTAGTTGTACATTGTTTGGGGCACCAAGAATTTAACTTATAACCTCACACTTGCCAGGCAGGCGCTGTGCCACTGAGCTGTATCTTGACCCTGTTTTTCTTGTTTTGCTCCATTATTTCCAGCACCAAATCATCAAGTTTCCCAACCAGGATTTCCAGAGCAAAACCACAAATCAAAACCAAAGTCATAACCATAGTCAAATTGACAAATTAAAGCACTTTGTAAGATACATTACTAAAAGATTTTAAATAAAATAAAAGATTTTGTTTAGTTGTGCCTGTGTCTATGACTGTGGTTATGAGTTTGGTTTGGTTCAGTTTTGCTAGGCAAATGCTTTAACACTGAGCTACACCCCCAGCACTTTTTATTCTGAAACGGGGTTCTCTAAGTTGCTTAGGTGAGCCTTCAATTTATAATCCTCTTGCCTCCAGAGTGGCTGGGATTACAGGTACCATACGAGCTTGTACCAGCACATTTGAGAGTGGCAATATTATTTTTCACTTTTTATTGAGTACTTTCAGTATCTAGTTTCAGGAATTTTTCAGTGATAAAATACTAACATCTAGAGTGAAACTGTTACCAACCCTAGGCAGAATAACAAAATTAAGTTATAGTAGAAGGATAAAATCAAACTTGAGTTTATCTTTCACTCATTTTCATTCCATCTTTTAATGCACTGAAATTGTAGGAAGAATAAGCTTTTGAACACAGCTTTGTCTCTTCTAACCTCAGCGAGCTAGCTGTCTAGCTACTTTTAACTATACCAACTCGTGAATCAAGACAGTTGGGGGAATACAGGGGGGTAATTACAATCTAAGGGGAGAAATGGTTCGACATTTAATTTTCACAACATGAAACAGAACAGAAGTATATTTTAATACCTTTTACTGATTATCTTATTATGCACGAAAACATGCTCAATATAATAAATGCAGAGAAGCAAAGAAACAAAATAAAACTCTCCTGTAATTACACCACTCAGAGATAACCACAGTTGACATTTGGGTGTTTAAACATTCACATTTTTTATGCATGTATATAATCACATATGTACATTTTTACAAAAATAGGATCATATGGTATATTTAAGGGACTTTTAATTCAACACTGTTTGTTGTAAACATTGCTCCACATCAATATATTTTTTCAATGATTTCATTTTCAAAGCATGGACAATATCACATTAACTGTTTACAATGATGTATTTATTTAGTGTCTTACTTTTGCACATTTGGGCTATTTGTTCACTGTTACAGATAGCACTGAAGATATTTTCATTTCAACTATATCTTTAATTATTTCATTATAATAAAATTTCAGAAATGACATTATTAAAGAATTTTTAATAGAAAACGAAAGTACTAGAAAATAAATATCAACATCACCAAGGTAGTAACACACAAAGCATAAAACTCAAAATACTTAGTACATTAGTACCATAAGAATAGATATTAAATCCACATGCTCCACAAAGAAAAATGGATACATTTTAAAGAAAGGTAAGATAATCTTTACTTAGAAAAAGGTACTTAACTTTGGATTTCAGACAGTCATTGCATTAATAAGAAAAAGGGACTAACATAAAGGCTGAATATTTTATATGAAGGATCAATTTCTCTAAAAAATAACACCTCTGTAAAGCTGCAAAGTAATCCTGCCTTGTTAATCCCTGTGATCAGGATCCTGTGCTTTGCCTGGCATTTTCTGACAGCAAATGTTAGCATTTTATAGAAGTGTAAAATTGGATTGGTCATTTAAGCATCAGTTT